AAAATGATTTTGACTCCCTTTAGGCAATTGACTCTGCGGAAGCCTAAAACCATACGAAGGCACGAACCAGTGAGGCATCGGCGTTGTAGGATAAGGGCACGGCGACAAAGCCCAAAACGGAGGCCAATGCGACGAATATCCAGGTAACAGAGGCGCCCAACCCTGAGAAACACTCGGAGATGGGTGTCCGATTGTAGCAGATCCAGAAGAAAGAAGGTCTGCAATGGCTGGAGCAACTACGACGCCCGCCGCTGTTAGGGGTGGGCATGGGTCGGGACGGTTCGGGATTAGGGTTATCCCGGTCCCGTCCCAATTAATAATAACGGGACGGGACGGTACGGGACAAGCCTTTGTCCTAGTCTTGTCCCATTTAAATCGGGACCGGGATGGTTCGGAACGGTTCGGGACGGTTCGAGACGTCCCAAACTAACAAAAAATAATCATTTGTAATTAATATATATTAGCATTTCTAAAGTATCATGCACCAAAATATTAATATTTTAAAGGAAAAATTGAAAATAATAATCCCAAATATTGTCAGTCCGCTGATAATAATCCCAACTATTGATTATTTTTGTATAATCCCAACTATATGGATTGTCCGCCAAAAATGGTCCATGGTCAGATATTACCTCCTATAAAAAGTGAATTTTAAATAGAAATTAAGTGTAAAAATTAAAAGTTGAGATTATTTATAGGGATTACTTACTATATCACTCCTCATCCACTTTAGAAACTACATAAATTTATTTATAGGGACCACTATTGGCGGAAGGTCCCTAAAGTTGGGATTATTCTGAAATAATCAATAGTTGGGATTATTATGAGCGGACCACCAATAGTTGGGATTATTACTATCAATTTTTCCTATTTTAAAAGTTAATTGATGTTCATCACAAGCTAAAAGCTACTACGTATTAGATTTTAGTTAGGTTTACCAAAATTTGAAATTTAAATTTAAAACAAAGCAAAAATGAATTAGTTTATTCAAAATCATGTGTTCTAGCTGTGAGATACTCATATGTAGATATATAAAGTGGGATAAAAATCTATGTTAGTAAATATTCATGTTAGGTATTATTTTTAATTTAAAAATTGGGCTTGAAGAACTAAAAACATGTTACCATTTATTTTTTGAGTTGACATTACACACTAGTCACATGCTACAAAATCTATATAGTTATTACAAACGGGACAACGGGACGGTTCGGGATATGACGTGCACTTTGTCGTGAGTGCACTCAAAATAAATTCAATACTAACACTTATACGTAGTATAGCGTAGTAGAGTTTGTATCCACAGGGAAAGGAAATAATTCTCTTTTTATAAAACTAGTAAAATAAAAGGGGTTTTTTAGGATTGAGTGATTTAATTTGATTAAACACAAAGATGAACAACTTATATGTGATTTAATTCAAAGATAAAAAGGACTTGGCATTGCTACTTTCCACTTGTTGATATATTTTAGTCGATCATTGTTATATCTATAACTTATTCCCTCTCGAATACTCAATCGAGGAGTATATCCAATTCATCGAGGGTAGTTATTAACAACGACCGTTCATTAATAACCCTTACTATTAGTCAAGTATAGAACACCGCCATATACCGACTTAATAGTAGCATTTAATCTCTTAACTCCTTGATGAAATCAATTGAGATTGATAACCTCAACACAACGGTTTCGGTTTAACCAACAAAATTAATCCCTCTTAAGTTTATTAACCACGACCGTGCATTAATAAACCGAAGTTACTTACTTGTGAAGCCATCAACGATTAACCATCGGTTCGTTGATCGTTTCTAGTAGTAATTAATGTCGAGATGTTAACTAATTTTCATCTTAGCAACACTCCCCAACATTAATATAGAGATAGATTAAGGGAAGAATTAATATTCAAGGAAGAAGATTAAATATGAATAATCCTACTATAACTAATGTCAAGATGTTATCTAATTGTCATCTTAGCAACACTCCCCAACATTAATATATAGATAGATTAAGAGAATAATTAATATTCAAGGGAAGAAGATAAGAAAATAACTCACAACTTTAATAATCAACAAGCTTCAAGAGCAACACCAAGAAATGGAAGTTTAGCTCCTCATTTGGAGACTAAACATGCTAAAAAAATATAAAAGAAATACTATTCTAAGTTGAGCTTAAGAGTATGGAAGAAGGAGTTCATCTTTTGTGAAGGAAAATGGGGTTATTTATAGGTGTTTTCAACACCCGGCCCTGGGGCATTGACCCGCCCGGGTAAAAGGACATACCCGACCGGGTCAACGTCAAAATCAAATATTTCCCACGTTCTGGCGATCTTCGGCATGTTCTGGTGTTCCGGGTCACATCTGACCCGACCGGGTCAAATAAGTGACCCGCCCGGGTCTAGTGACTTTCTCAGCAGTTTCTGATTCTTTGTCATGCCCGACCGGGTGAAGTATTGTACCCGGTCGGGTTTTTGCTTCTGGGCAGCCAAATCTTATTTTTCTTCACTTCAAAGTCCTCCTTTTCAACACCCTAATTCCTAACTCTACTTTACAACTTACAAATGAAGATTAAAATACAATTACAACTAAAATCACACAAATGTTTACAAACTAAATAAAACGGTAAACAAACCACACAAATCAAACATAAAAACATACACTTATGCACTACTAATTAGTGCATATCAAACACCCCCACACTTGAACCTTTACTCGTCTCGAGTAAACAAAATCCAGCCCAAGAAGTCCTTAAAATGACAAGAGTATCAACACCAACATCCACGTGTGTTTGTAGAACAACACAAAAAATATCCTCAAAAATATAAGAGTAAAGAGGGGTCTTCAACTCCACATTTTTTTATCAACCTCAATTTTTTTTCATTGTTACCCTTAGGATCCTGCAGAAATAAAAGAAAATACTTTCTCTCATTCTCTCGTTTTGCCTAGGTGCCCTTTCGGGTTTTCATCCCAGCTTCCCACATTTTTTTGTTTTAATCCTCACAACTCACTCTTATTTTTGCTTTATTTTTGCTTAAGTTGCCTTTTCAGGTTTTCAACTTAACAAGCTTTTTTTTTTGAAAATAAATACAAGAATATAGAGTATGAATGTGAGTTTTCCATAAAACTCTCCCCCCAAGCTAATCAAAGCACTGTCCCTAGTGCTTGTGTCTGAGATGAATGCGTTTTTTTTTGGGTACTTTTGGGAGGTTTTGTTGGTGATTTGTGGGTGTGGAGATGAAGAGGGTGAAAAGGAGATGAATGAATTGGGTTTACTTGATGCATTTGGTGGATGGATGTAGGAGATATGAAGCTTTGGACTCTTGGAAATGGAGGAAATTTGGGGTTTGGTTCGAATGGGGAAAAGAAAGTGAGGAAGAAGCTGCCCGCCCGCCTCCTGATCGAGATTTTTCCCGACCGCCCGGTCAGGTATAGTGACTGACCCGGTCGGGCGTAAACTGTTCACCCGAGGCAGAGAGTTTTTTTTGCAGGGTTGCCCGGCCGGGTATAGGGGTCTACCCGGTCGGGTGTGTCTATTTTTCTCTGTTCCTCAGCTGCCTCGCCCGGGTGAGTTGTGCAGGTAGGGTATTTTTACGCTATACCCGACCGGGTGTAGTGTGGTACCCGGCCGGGTATGTTCCCCAGGCTTCACTTTTTTTTTTGAAGTGTAAATTTAAACTAGAACAAAAAGTAAACGTACCTTACATGGGTTGCCTCCCAAGAAGCGCCTCGTTTAACGTCGCGGCACGACGCCATCATTGTGTTCAATCGTTCAAGCTTGGATCGTGATAACTCATCTTCTTCAAATTTTCACTCGGGTGACTCTTATAGAAAGACTCAATTTTTCGACCCCTTATTTTGAAAATCTTTCCGGGATCAAATATCCGGTTTTCTATCGCTTCATATTGTGAGAGTGAGAGTCCATGATTTTCACTAAGCATGATCAATGGAAGGGGTTTTGATCCGGGTGGTATAAGAGGGGGTATGAAATATTTGTGTAACTCCACCGTTATCCCTTGCTTATTTGTGCACAAAGAGAAGTCTAAATTATACTCACAATTGCTGGAGATTTCATAGATATCTTTGTCCTTCTCTACCCTTTGTGTTTCATTTAGAGCCTCAGGAAATGGTGGCATGATCTCAGGAATGGCCGGTGGTTGAGTTGAGTTTTGAGGTTCCTCCCCCGATTGAGTTTTCTCCGTAAGTTCCTCTTCTTCCTCCTCCTTGCCCATGTGGTTCACAATGCTTGGCATTTGTTTCACTTGATTGTCCAAGTTCTGTTCGTTGGACACTGTTTCTTGCGGGCATTGTGACATATTTTGTTGCATATTTGTCACATTGATAGTGAGAGCTCAGATCATGTCTTCAGTTGACATGCTAGAATAAGAACTTGAGTATGGGTTATATGTGTTGGAGAATGAATCATACCTCTCTTGGAAACCAACATCATTCCTTTGTTCAAAGTATTCTTTTTGAAGTTCTGGGCAAAAATCTGTAAGATGTCTGTGTGACATGCAAATGTTGCATGTATGGACATCTTGAGATTTTGAACATGAAATAAACTCCTTTATTAGAGAAGTTAAGACGGAAATTTGCCTCTCTAGGGATGATATGTTGGTATCCATATACTCATGTAAGCTCAGAAAATAGAAAAGTAAGATTTTTTTTTTATTTTTTTTATTTTGTTTTTGATTTTTATGAGATAAAATAAAAAGAAAAATAATTGCCTTTCCCTGGCAACGGCGCCAAATTTGACGTGCACTTTGCCGGTCCTGAGAAAACGAGGGCCCTGTGCAACAACAAAAATTAGGCCTTTCTTTTCTATCGTTAATAGAAATGCTATTTCAATTGAAATGGTAAATTGTTAATACGGAGTAGTAGTAATTTATTAAAAAATTATTTCAAAATAGAAATTGCTAGTATTAACTAATAGTAATAAATCCAATAAAAAAATTATTTACGTATAAAGTTATATAGTGAAACAAAAACAAATTTAACAGCCTAAGAACCTATTAATATCATTTTGTTGAACTCAGATTACAAAATTAATTCATAAAGAACCATTACTCTCTATCAGTTACGAATATACTTAGAATAGTGGAGTCCTTCCGTCCTAGATGTGTCCGAATCGCCGCAGCAACTTAGAAATCAAGATGGCTCGAGGCTGGGGCAGAGCCTGGAGACGGAGAGTCGTCCACACGTCGCTCGTCTTGCTCAGTCACTCGTTATGCCCTTTGGCCTATGCGCTTCCTCTTTCGCAGATTGCTATGCTCGCCCCGCACCTTTTTGTTCGCTATTGGGCTGACTAGCTTATACGGAGTAGTAGACTAGTAGTAATACTACTACTAATTTTTTTTTTGGGCCTTACATATTTTTGGGCCCTGTGCGGTCGGACACCCTGCACACCCCCTGGGCCGGCCCGAAATCCGGCACTGCCGGATTTCGGAACGGTAAGCATTAGGTCTTTGGACATGATAGAAAATCCATTGACGAATTAACGCGTCCACTTGTTTCCGTGTAGGACCATCAATGGTGCTGGGAGCACCATCACCTTCAATGAGGAACATCAAATTATGAGCATGGAGATGAAGCTCAAATAAGAACACCCAAGAGGAATACTCATCGTCTTTGAGATCGAGAGTAATAGGAATTTGAGTTTTGATGCATGTTGCTAAGTGCAAAAGCAGGATGAAGTCGTGTTCTTGGGGAGGATGTCTCGCCAACCATTGTGGCAGGAAAGAGAAGTAAAAGGCCGAGAAAAAAGAAGGCAGGATCGGCCTAGTCTGATACCATAAAAGAGTGTATAAAATCCCTTTGTGAGAAACCTTTACATTGTCTCAAATTCTCAATTTATATATGAGTGAGGAGAGTATTAAAGGAAAGGGAAATAAATACAAGAGGATTTTGTGGGATGTACAAATCAATGAATAATTGCAAATCAACTAAATATGTTAAGAGATCCTATCTAAATATGGTAGTCTTTTAAGAAGATGAATTGTTTAAAACACACACATTTACCAAAACTTTTTAAATATATTATGTCTTATTTGATTGTACTAATCTTATTGAAATAAAAAATTAATTTTTCAATTACACATTCTGTCTATCAAGCGTGTTCATAAGTCACGAGGAGTTTTCATAATATTACAATAGTTTACATGAGATTATTTACTTTTAGAATAATATTATGTTACTATTTCGTATAGATGATGCATATATATTATTGAGGTATATTATCCCGGTCTACTATTGTTCAGGAGCCCATGGCATCACTCAGTACGAAGCCTGAATGACGAGGCCCCTATCAGGCCTGTTTCGGCTATTTGGGCTCATTTCAGCCCATTTGGCCTGTTAGGGTGGTTTTACGCCCTAACCCCATTCTCCTATACATACGGGGCTTTCCCTCCATTTTGGGGATCCCTTTATTGTGGGTTTCTTCTTCCTCTTTTCCTACATACGTCGCCAATCCAACACAAAATAGTAAATATAGATATAGATTTGTATTAATTCTATGTTTTTATGTGGAAACCTGAAAAGGAGAAAATCATAGCGCTTTATGAATTTCACGGTTGAAATCATATTAGAGGAAGCGAACACCTATTATTATTATGGGAAAGGGGCAAATAAGCTCTCGAACTAACCAAAAAGGTTCAAATCACCCCTTATAAAGGAGGTTCTATTTGGCCGTCGCCATTTGGGGCCGTTCCGAGTAGAATTTTTTGATAAATTTTTTTGAGCATCTTTTTCAGTTAGTCTAGTTTACTCATACCAAATTTCAGCTAAAAATAAAACCGGGAAGGCAGTCAAATGATTTTCTGAAATATATTGCGCTATTTATTTGCGCAGTTATCTTCAAAAATTCATTTGACTGCCTTTCCGATTGAAATTTTAGATAAAATTTGGTATGTGTAAACTAGACTTAATGAAGAAAATGTTCAAAAAAATTCATCATAAAAGTCCATCGGGAACCTCTCTAAATGGCGACGGCCGGACAGAACTTCCTAAATAAGGGGTGATTTACATTTTTTTTATTAGTTCGAGTGCTTATTTGCCCCTTTTCCCTATTATTATTGTGGTTGTTGTGTGGTCGTGGTCTCTTCATGTTTATCCAAACAAAGCACAAAGGCACAAATCCAATGTGATATGCATCATTTGCAAGTCAATATTATTACAAAAAGTCTAGTTGTACACACTGTAGTACCCACACTATACACACTATATAACCCTCTAGTTTTACCTTTCACTTTTACCATTCTTCTCTCTCCCTTTCTCGTACGATCCTCTGCCCCATTCTTCTCCTCTCCCCATTCTCCTCCTCTCCAGCTTGTTTTTTTCTTCTGAAACTTGTGAAACTCCCTTCCCCCAAACCCATATTTTTATAGAAACCCTTTCACCCCCCAGTTTCTTTATCATTTGTTTTTCCGTTTTTCGACCCAGAGACTGAAACCCTATTTTCGCCGCTATCACGAACGAAAATCTATGACCGTTCAACCACCGCCTAATTTAAGGTACTCTCTTCTTTTGCTCTTTTGTGAATTAAGTGTTAATATTTATGTGAGGTGCATGGGTTAACGGACTGTCCTTTATTTTATATGTAAATTTGTTAATTCAACTATTTACTTTAATTTTTTTTAATCATTGTGGTTGATTATTGTGGGTATAGTCTAAGAACTTCTTTATATTTTCTTACTCATGAAATAGCTAACTCTCAATTTGTGGTTAACGAATTCTATGTTCAGATGATGATCTGAAATAGCTAACTCTCAATTTGATGATTTGTGAGATTTTTATTTCAACCTGTTTTTGCTTGTTCAATTTCATATGAGATGTTTTATTTCAATCAGTTTATTTCAAACTATTTGTGTTATTTTCGAATTTCATTTCAAAGGGGGTGTTGGAGCTCTGGTATGAGAGGGCTAAACCTAGATAGTACCAAGGTATTTAATTTAATTTGTCAATGTTCAAATTATTTCTTGATTATGTTTGAATTCAACCTGTTTCTGGTTTTTCATTTTCAATCTAAGGTGGGTTTGATGAGTGTCAATATTCAAAAAATCATGTTTGTTTTACGAAGTAGTCATTTGAAATGCTTAGATTGGAAAATTTTGAAAATTTTACTGACAATTTTACACATCAAAGGCTTCCAGTAATATGATTGTAGATTTGGGCTTTATCTTATGATTTGCGAATAACTCATAATCAATTTGTAACCATTATCTTTGCTTAAGATAAATAAAGTACATGGATGTATAGTCATAGTTACAAGGTCTACTAAATTAAGTGGCACGCAGGAGACCAATTAGTGGGAAGATCATATTCAGGTCCAGAGATTTTTATCCATATCACTAAATTTTACAAACACGGCCAGTAAAATTTCCTTTTCCCTCAGATTTGGTGCAAGAATATGAAGTAAATAAAGTCTCAGATCTGGTACAAGAATATGAAGTAAATATAGTCTTATCGAACTTACTTTATTTATATATAACTGAATTTTAAAATAGTTTGGATAATAATTTTTAGGCTATTAGCTCAAATGGTAGAGCGATGTGTGCATGAACACATAAATGTGAGTTCGAATCCCACATAGGCTACATTAAGTAATTTTGGAACGTGAAATGGATAAAATATACCTATGTTCATACACACATAAAGGTAAAGTAATTTTGGAACTTGAGATGATTAAAATGTAAAACATGTCCCCTATGCCATCAAAATGAAAAGCAAACATGTAGCCAACACCAGCACCAAAAGGAACTCGCTGCATTTTCATTTCACATTCTACTTTTGCTGCATTTTTTCATTTTGAGTTTGAAATGATTATCTTCCCAGGTTGGGCCATAAGGTGTATGTCTTGTATTTATAAGCAACGGAGAACAAGAAAGATCAGCCCTTGCCCTAAGGCAATTAAAGAAGATATAAATTGTTGGAAGAGTTTATGTGATAGTACAGATAAAAATAAGAGGATTGAGTTGGAGTCAAATTTCTCCAACAGTTCCTTGGGTTTATTTTCTTTACTACCCTTTGACGTTTTGACCTTTATCGCTAAATCTCTGGCTCATGTCTGATTTGGTAGATTATGTTGTAGCATCGTTAGAATCCGAGGATGTACTTGAGTAGTACTTTTTGTATGGTATGAAGAAGACTATCATGATACATTTATCAATACTTGAGTAGTTTTGTTTTTATTGGTATGTCCTATAGATATTTTTGATTCCAAAACAGTCTTTCATGTAAGGTTTTGCTTCTATTTGGGAATTGCAACTCACTAATGCATATTACTAGTGTGGTTTTATTGGTCTTTAATATCAATCCTGAAAATTTTATACTTCTAATTTAAAATAGTCACTGGAAACACATTGCAATGTTAATATGTGATGCCAAATAAAAAAGGGAATACAACGGTTAACAAAATCCAAGAGTTAATAAATTGTTAGTCACTGCCAAGAGAATTGAGAACCAATTAATACATGATGCATATGTTAAGCACTTAAGTGTAGCCTATGTGGGATTCGAACCCACATTTCTGTGTTTATGGCACATCGCTCTACCATTTGAGCTAATAGGCTAAAAATTGCTATTTAAAATATTTTAAAACAATGAGAAAGTCTACAATGTGGTCAGCCTCGCAAGACATTTTAAAGGAAAGAATCTTTAACAGTTAGAGAGAATGTAGCAATGGTTTCTCTTCTAGTATTCATCTTTGATATAAGAAATATGAAGGGTTTTAAGGGGAAAAAGAATAACTTGAGCCTAAAAATAGACAGTCATCTTTGATAGGGTATACAGATTTCAGGTTCAAGTTAGAGTATTCATCTTTGATAGGGTATACAGATTTCAGGTTCAAGTTAGAGTATTCATCTTTGATAGGGTATACCAGATTTCAGGTTCAAGTAAGAGTATTCATCTAAAAATAGACAAAAAAAATTAAAAAATTAGGATCGTGAACTAATTAGCAAAATAGCATTTACTCCACATAATTTACTTAAATAGCATTTACTCCACATAATTTGCCTAACTTAGGAGTATTCATCTTTGATAGGGTATAACATTTACTCCACACATTTTACTTAAATAGCAAAAGCATACTAATCAAATAAAATAGTCAATAAAAAATACTCGGTATATCATTATTTAAATTGGGAAACAAGAAAATTAGGATCTTGAACTAATTAGCAAAAAAGGAAAGTAAAAATCTTGAATTTAAACAAAAAAAACTCATTGAGTCATTTCAACAAACATGTTATAAGCATAAAAATGAAATAGAGTTATTGAATTAAAACTTCAATAACCAACACTACATTCTCTAACAATAATACAAATTTCTCAACTAATGAGCCTTATACAGTACATAATAGATAGTATACAAAAAAATTAGAAATTTTAAATAAATATAACCCTAAAATGCACAAAGAAAATTCAAATTAAATTATGACAGAGTTCTTCAATATTATGGATTGTTGATTGAGCTTCTTGTTTGACCTACGAAAATCCACTGTCCCTTTGTTTGTGTTGGTGCAAGAAGAAACAAAAGAAGAAGAAGAGTAAAGAGAAGGGGAATGAAAATAAAAAGAAGAAACGGTGAAATACGACAGAGAGGTTGCAGAAGAAAGAAAAGAAGTAAGGGTGAAGAGAGAGAAGGGGTAAAAGAAAGAAAAGAATGGGAGGGGTAATTTTTTTGAGGTATATATAGTGTGTATAAATGTGTGTATTAATGTGTGTACAAAGAGCAAATCTCATATTATGCATGTACAACGTAACTAGGCATATAAAGTTGGCTGGTCTGACAAGTTACAACTAACATGTCGTCCATGTGTTAGTGGCTCAACTACTT